AGGGGCACCCAATCGTCTTGTGCCTAGCAAGGAAGTGTCTGGAATACTCATGGCACACGATTAGTCCGCAAATGTGTTGTCATCAATCACCAAAACACTTAGGGATAAATATGTCCTTACACAAGTGTTACTGAAATTTACTTCCTGTGCAATAATCATCTTTGATACTTATCCCTTGATATTGCAGGCGAAGTAACAATGATTGCTTTGAAGGCAATTGAGAAGCTTATTTCTTCGGGAAAGAGATATCCACTGTCTCAATCCATGTTATTCTTTTCTTCTGCGTCACTATACCTCATTATCTAACAATGCAGGAGAAGAAAATTGTCTTCAGACTGAATCTATTTGATTCTCGAATTTCATATAAATTCAGTCTTTCCGATGTGATGTTTTTCCTTCTTTAGATACATCTCTTCATCGTTGTTGAAGGAAAACTCCATCTGAATGTCACTCAGTTTGAAATGAAGTATCCCTCGTTGTGATATATCGTGCATATCTAATCTGCATGGACTCTGTATCTCTTGTGGATCCTAATTCTATTCTGAGTAAACCTTCATGGCTTATTTCTGCTACAAATCATTTCAAAGTATTCATACTCTTTAACAAATCTTTTTCAAGGTTGTGTGTCGCAGGTAAAGATATCAGACAGGAACGAGAGCATTGTTCGATGATACAATTGCTACAAAACAACAATGCTTCTCGCACGAAGATTCACATCGGTTCCTTCCAGATTATCTCTCAAGCATAACCTCAAATGAAACATCTTCAGAAAAATGCTTACATTCAGGGGGAGCATGTTTATCTTCGTATTTTACTCTCGTATCTCTTGTTTTATTCACTCCCACTTCATTTCACTTTATCTATCCTTTGATGTATTCTATTTTGTCAACAATCGTCCAAAAAGGGGGAAATTGTTGGCGCAATTCTTGCCCTCTTGTGTTTTGGAGATTGTTGACAGAAACAGACGTGTACTGATTTCTTTGCTAGTGCACACATGGAGAAAAAGTCCATGCATAACCGAAGAAGAATGCCATCTTTGGTGTCAAGTTCGAGGAACTTCACCGGAGAATATTTGAGACACAGATAAGATGTGTCATATCTCTCGAGGCCATTCTAGCGAGAATATTGATGTGAAGAGGTGGACCCCTTAAAATCTATTGCCATTGTGAAGCAATTGGTTCAGAGGTTTTCTGAAGAAAATTGAGTGAGAAGACCGAAGGCGAAGCGAAGACGTAGAATTCAGTTCGTTGCCCTTCTTCTCTTTCTTGAGTGTTAGGACCCCCGCACTATTAAGACAGGTATAGGTTCTTGAAGCTTAGATCCGTTGGGATGCTTAGCCCAAACCTACGAAAGTATGAGAGGAATCTCTTTATGCTCCAAATGATTACCTGTCAGCAAAAGTCATAGTTCTTCGGTGTTGCAGGATATATCTTTCGGACTGCGGAGTTAGCATTTCTTGCTCCGCATGGAATGCTACCGTTCTGCTCAATTTCCGACCGTTGGACTCATGTCGTTCGGCCATTGGTTGACACACATGTCCATTTTGGTCATTTTCCCTTAGGGAAGGTTGCGGCTATAAATAGCTATCGCGCTTCAATGTTATCCGTTGACTGCTACACTTGAGATTTCCGAGAAGATTGATTGAGCATCCCCTCTTCAAGGGATTTGAGTTTAAAATCCACCAAGAGAAAACCAAGAACCAAAACTTAGACAGTGGTTGAGCATCATAGTAGCTCTGAGTTAGAGTTCTTGCACCTATTACTCTTGAGAGTTGCGCACTCTCTAGACGGATAGGTGTCGGCTCGAGTATTGAAGAGTTGTTATCTTCACCGAGCAAGATCTTCAGCAACCAGGAGTAACTGTGGTTTGCGAAGGAAACCTGTCAAAGGTTTGGAGATTGTCGATAATCATCTACCATGAGTGAAATCAACTGTAGTCTGATCAGCTCCTAGTTGAAGGAGAATGGGACAGAGAGAGGTTTGCTCCTGTGTTCAATCACAAGTCCCTTCAACCAAACCTAATCCTTTTGGCGGAAGGACGAACTGTTCTACCAAATACATTTCTCGCCATCGAGCACCACTGGTTCTTTCTACTCACCTTTTATTTGATTCAGGAATTATCTTTCGTGTTCAGCGATGACATGTATTTTCATACAATTTGATCTTTTATCCTTCGTGTGTAATCTGCATCATATCTCCCTTGTATTTTGTGCAGTACTCTAGTGCTATCTCATATGACTGAATTTACCTCACTGATAGCATCTAGTTTTCATTCATGCTCTTGCAATTGCTTGTGTACTGCTTTACCATCGTGATAGTCAAACCCGTTTATCTACTATGCTCGAGCTATCATTACTTCTTCTCTCAAAGATAACATTCAAAAGAATTTTTGAATCTCCCATCCACCCCCTCTGGTCGATATACTCCCGGTACCTTCAAATTGCTATGGTGGGGCTCGGAGTTGACGATGCGAAAGTGGGGAGGTGCCTGAAATTTTCGGGCGAAAAATCAGTTTTGACAATGGAAGCGAGATGATCCCGATCGGGTCCGGCAGATACAGGCTATGTCCAGATGATCCGGGCAGGTCTTCCACATGGCTATGGGGTCGAGAAGAACTCCAAATCATGGATAAGAAAAAAAAATGGGGCGATTTCGGGGTGGATTTCGTGGTGGAGATGGTGAGGAATGCTAGATCCACTTGCGACACAACGAATCCATGTATCAAAATCAACAAAACATCATCAAACCAACAAATCGCCCAAAAATGGGTATTACTATTTTGTGAGGATTTTCGAAATTGGTGAAAAACACACAAAATTAGGCTAGAACGTGGGGGCAGGGACTCCAAATTCGTGGTCAACGTGGCTCATGATACCAAGATGATGCAGAGTGGAACCCTAATGGTTGATATTTCATGAATTGGAGGGGATCCCGCGAAGAACACGAGAGGGAAAACACTCAATCAACAAGATCAAAATCACACATGTGCTAAATCCACATACACAAAGAAGAGATACAAGGATCCAAATCCAACACAAGAGGGTACAAAGGGTAGCTAGTTCATCCCAATCCTTGAAGGAGAGAGGTCTTGAATCCTAGGAGGATCTTCCCATGAAGGGGTCTTGAATCTACTTGGGGGATCTTCTCACATGGAGGCCTTGATCTCCATGGGAGAGGTAAGTGGATGAGCAAAGCTCTATCTCTATCTTGAGCTAACCCTTTGCTAATCCTAAAACATGGGCATATGAGGAGTATATATAGTCTAGGGGTAGGTAGAGGTACATGGGCCTCGGCCCAAGTCATGCACGCAGGCACGGTCCGGATGATTCAGGAGGTGGTCCGGATGATCCAGGCTCTGGGGGTCCGAATGATCCGAGCGGTCGCCCGGATCATCCGGCTGTGTCATTGCAGCCATCGTTGGTCCGGATATCCAGGTCAGCGTTCGGATGCCTGGGTGGGTTTGGATGTTTCGACTTGGTTTGGAGGCATGTTGTGGTCGTCGGGCACATTACCCGGATCTTCTGGAATGAGGCCCGGATTGTCCGGGCTTCATCCAAATCATCCGGGCAAGTCCTGTCTTGCTCCATTTCTTCTTCGTCTTCGCGTTCTTCTCCCTCTGTCGTTCGGCCTTGCTACTCGGCTTCGCCATGGCTGGTTCCTTGGTAACTGAGTATGCAAAGTGTCTCCGTTTGAGGTACTAGCCATGTCTCATGTGATTCGAAAGGGAGTTGCGAGAGGAAATGTGTCACCTCGGTCTCGAGAGCTCTTGTATGTGCTTGTGTCATCGGTCCACTTGGCACTTGGGGAGACGAAGGTAGGTTCATGGGGATGACCGTGGGATGCTCCGCATCACGGTCTCCTATGGTGGCGGGGATGGAGTTGTCGACGACGGCTCGGCGACGCATTTGCATAGAGGGGCAGCAACGGGTGAGATCCATAGCAAGGGAAAGAGAGATAGGGTGAGGGGAGAGAAAGAGAGTTGTGGGAGGAGGAGATGGGAGGAGGGGGCCGTCATTAGGAGGTGTCCTTGCCGAGCAGCCCAATGCACCAGGCACCTCTTGCACCCTCACCCTTCTCCCCTAGCAAGCTCTCTCACTGCCGCGACCGCGGACACCATCAACGCCCTGGAGGTGAACAAGGCCCTCGCTCCAACCGTGCAACAACAGCGCTCGCCCCAGCACTCGAATAGAAGGACGTCGAGGACAGTAGGGCGGTGTTGTACTTCTTCCTCACGTGCAGCGACGTGCAATTGTCCATCATGGCTTACAAGGTGAGGCAGGGGTATTTGGGTCATGCACGTGCGCGGTCGCCGTCGCGCTCCGGTAGCTCAACAGGCTCTTTGGTTACTCCCAGATGATGCCAGACGCCCAGGACCACGACTTGGAGCCGTTGCGGCGATGTCGTCTGTGATGGTCCTTGGACACAGCGAGCCTGGCCTTGGCGCCGGTGATGGGCGCGGCCGGAGCGGGGCTTTTCCTAGGCGTGGCGATCGGGTCGGGGCAATTAGTGAAGTAATGTGTCCCCGCCTACACTTGGAGCAATTAGTAAAGTAATCAAACCAATTAGCACTTATCATCGGTGTTTCTTTTTTTGTCACTGCCAATTTTCTGGTGCGATGATTTTTACAACAAAATGTAATGTGTTGGTTTGCTGCTAATGACATTGTGGTGTTTTTTTGCATTTCATTGCAGACTTCACATTCGACACAAACAATTTTAGTGGGATCACGCACCGCCCGGAGAGCAGAGAACAGAAAAGAATTCCTTTTTTTCATGTACGTAGAATAAAGTGAGCGGAGCCCTATAAAACATCTCTCCTTCATCCCTGTCCACAAGAAAGAAATCCAAAACCCGATGAACTAGAGATTTAGCGCACCAGGTCAAACAACCGAAAAACCGTCTCGCCAGCCCTGTATAAAGAGCAAGACCCGGCAAACTTGTCTCCCAAACCAACAATCCCGATCCCCATCCCCAAGAAATTAAACCTCAACAAACCCCTCCCATGTCCGACCACCACCTCGCCGGCGACCACCACTCCTCCCCGGCGAGCACCGCCACCACGGCCCTCGGGACCCTGCTGCTCCTACCGTCGGAGCTCCTCCACGAGATCCTCATCCGCCTCGCGCTCCCGGAGCTGCTCCGCGTCCGCTCCGTCGCCCGTCCCCTGTCCCACCTCATCTCCTCCCCGGACTTCCGCCGCTTCTACCACCTGTCCTCCGTCTCGTCCGGCCCCGCCCCGGCCGCCGCGTGGCTCCTCGTGTTCAAGAAGCTCCCGCCCCGCGGCGCCGCGCTACGGGGCTTCCACGGGCCGTCCGGCCGCTGGTTCCGCATCCCCGTCTCGGACATCATCTCCCCCGCCGTGCCGCCGGGAGAGGACCTCTACTTCCTCGCCGCATCCGGCAGCTCCTTCCTGTTCGCCGCCAACGGCCGCCGCGAGCTCGTGGTGGTTGACCTCTCGGCCCAGTCGGCCCGGCGCCTCCCGCCGTCCCCGCTCGGCCCCCGCGGCACCTCGTCCTGGCGTCGCTTCGGCCTCAAGCTCGTGGCCGATCCCCCCGGATCAAGCCAGTTTAGGTACACGTCCTTTTCTTTCGGAGGACTCTGGAAATCCTCTTTTCTTTTCTTTTCTCTGTAAAAAAACAGCACTAACCTTGACGCTCTTCGTATTACATTTCACAGCGGTTATTATTCATCTGATTGTTTTGTAGATGTAGTACGATTTAATCTGATGATGATACGTCTCATCTTTTTTTTTCTTTTTCTCTTCAACAAGGTTTCTCTTCGCCGAGATGGTGAACAACACGCCCGTTCTCTTCGAGTATCAGTCTGACACCGACGCGTGGCAGTCATCGGAGGCGGTGCTGGCAAATGGTCCCGCCGCACCGGCAGGTCCCGACGGGGACGGCACGTACCTGTGCGCTGCCCACGCCGGGCCGGACTGCGTGATGGTGTACTCAGGCCCGGGCGTGGACAGGCCGGTCTTCTTCCGCCCGCGGTTCCCGCACAACCCGAACGCCGGCGGCCACGGCGATCGGCTCCACGTGTACGGCGACGGCAGCACCGTGGTGGTCCGATCAACGGTGATCGACGAGCCGAGCCGGACTCGGGTGAAGTTGGTGGCCGGTGTGGACCTCTACGGGCTTGGGCCGGAGGTGGGAGGCGACTGGCAGCTGGTGTCCACGGTGCCGGGCGAGCTGATCGAAGGGTTCAGGAAGCCGTACGCCGTGATGACGGGGCTGCTGGCGGAGAGGGAGGGCGTCATGAGGCTGGTGCTCATCTCCAACTGCAGGGGCGCGTGGGACCTGGTGTGGCTGTCGTACGACCGCGCGCGCGGCGAGTGGAGATGGGTGCCGGTGCCGGACTGGGGCGGCGCCAAGGGCCTCAACATGGCCGGCATCGCCGTGTCGTCTACCTTCTCGCGCCTCTGGCCGCCGGCGCCAACCATCTGCCGCTGAACCGAACCGCCGTACGTGTTGCTTGTGTCTGTACGTACAGTGGGCAAGGTAGCGTGTGGGATTATTGTTCATGGGAGAGGTGTTTGGCCAGACGTGGCAACAAAGGCCCCCACGATCATCCGAGTGGTACCTCCTCTGTTCTCCCCTCCATGCCGCTGGGGCCGTCGAATAGGTGATGGCTTGGTCGACGCGGACAGGTGATGGCGTGAGTGTGGTTTTAGATAAGGAGTGGTGTGTCCCTGTGCGTGCTTCTGTCATAAATCCGGTATGTACCTTCTCTATCTCTAAGAAAAAGAAAAACGTCTGTGAACCAAGAGAGAACTACAGTGCTTTACCATGCAAAAAAAATTACTTAGGGCATCTCCAGCCGCGCCCCCAACAGGGCCCCCAGGCCACTTTTTGGCGCCGGCGCCGAAAAAACGGCCCAGTCGCGCCCCCAGGATGCTGAAAATGTCGGTTCGGACCTTTTTTCCGCCCGGCGGTTACAGGCCGAACCCGGCGCGCTGGGAGCAGTTGGGGGCTCTGGCGCTAGGGAAAAGCACGCCTGGCCCACACCGACAGGGGAAAAGTCAAGGTTTTCTTCCCCCGACTCGCCTCGCACCCCCCGCGCCCTCGGCCACCACTAGCTATATCCCGGCGACGGCCGCCGCCCTACTCCGCTAGATAGCCATTCCCCGCCAGAAAATAGCAGCGCTTCGCTGCGGCAGCCCCTCCCACAGCAGCTGGGCGTTTCCGGCCGCCGTTTCCGGCCGCGGAGGCGCAGTTTAACGGCGGGTACACGCCCACCGAGCGCAAGGTGTTCGGCGTTTTGCCTGCCTCGGCGATGGACTCGGATGAGGAGGAAGAGCTCGCCGCGCTGCTAGAGGAGGAAGCCGTGGCCGACGTCCAGGAAGAAGAGCATCTCATGGTGCTCGCCGCCCTTGCCCAGCTACTGGCGAGCAATGAAAAGTCGCGGCGAGGTGGCTCGGCGCCGGGGCGGATGAAAGCAAAGAACCGGCATCGTCTCCAAGGCTACTGCATGCTCTACTCCGACTACTTCGCCGATGCTCCACTTCATGGCGAGAGAACATTTCGGTGCCGTTATCGGATGAGCCGAAAGCTCTTCCTCAGAATTGTGAATTCCATCCGGGAGTTCGACAACTACTTCAAGTGCAAGATGGATTGCACTGGCGCTCTTGGATTCACCTCCATCCAGAAGTGCACGACGGCGATGAGGATGCTTGCATATGGAGCTCCCAGTGATTCACTCGACGACTATGGGCGCATGGCCGAGTCCACCAGCATAGAGTGTTTCTACAAGTTCTGTCGGGCAGTGGTGGCAGTGTTTGGGCCACAATACTTGAGAACACCCAATGCGGAAGACACTGCTAAGATCCTAGCCCAGAATGCAGCAAGAGGATTTCTTGGGATGCTTGGAAGCATCGACTGCATGCATTGGAAATAGAAGAATTGCCCATTTGGTTGGCAGGGGATGTACAAAGGCGCCAAAGGCGGTTGCAGTGTGGTGCTTGAGGCGGTAGCCACACAGGACCTCTGGATTTGGCACTCCTTCTTTGGTATGCCAGGAACTCACAATGACATCAACGTGCTGCAGTGCTCTCCTGTTTTTGCCAAGCTCGTTGAGGGCCATTCTCCTCCAGTGAGCTTTGAGATCAATGGGAACCAATACAACAAGGGGTACTATCTAGCTGACGGCATCTATCCGAGATGGTCGACATTTGTGAAGACGATCTCAAACCCTGTGGCAGGAGGCAAGAACGCCTGGTTTGCGAAGCTTCAGGAGGCTTGCAGGAAGGATGTCGAGCGGGCATTTGGTGTGCTCCAATCTCGATTTGCTGTTGTTCGGTACCCCGCTCAGACCTGGTACAAAGATCAAATGTGGGAGATTATGACTTGATGTGTCATCTTGCACAACATGATCATCGAGAGCGAGCAAGAAGACCCAGTGTTTGACACTGAACCATACTACAGGCAGGGTCCTCTAGCCGAAGTTGATCACCAGCTACCGGCAACTTGGACTGCCTATCTCAGTATGCGTCAGGAGATCCGAGACCCACAGGTGCATCATCAACTGTAGAAAGATCTGATTGAGCACCTATGGAGGCTCAAGGGGGACGCTGTGTGATGAAATACGAGTTTTTATTTGTTAAACTATATAATTTGTATTGAACTATTTGTTGTTGTACTATTTTGTTGAAATATTTGATTTTTTTGTGATGAAATATGTGATAAGAAATAATTGTGTTGATAATTGAACGCCGAGACACGGCGAAACCACGCCGAATATGGGCCTATTCTCTCCCATATGGGCCCTTTATTCGCCAAAATTGGGCTGCAAAGTGGGCCAATTTCGGCGCCTGGGGGCGACGACTGGGCGCAAAACCGCCCCCAGCGCCGATTGTATCGCCGGCTCACCCCCAGGGGACGATTTTTATGCGTCCTGGGGGGGCCAACGGCTGGAGATGCCCTTAGCTATGCTATCAGATACCATACTAAGAGCATCTACAGCTGGACTTGACAAATCTGCCCCTCAAACGCCCGAACATGATACGCGCGGCTGCGGACAATGACCGGTCACGTCCCATACTTATGCTATGTATCTGAGTCTCTCATCACCTAGATTCATACAAACCATGCAAAAGAAATTCTACGTACTACGCACATCATGGTACTATGCTTCGTTGTTGGAGATGTCCATGACGTCGGTGTCAGGCGCCAGGTAGATGGGCGCTTAGGAGGGCTCGACTCCTCCTACTCATCCATATACGCAAGCATCTCATAGCCTTCCGCGGCATGCTCTGCCTCCTGCCGACGATAGTGTTTGGCCTCGCCTCTGATTCCAACCGGACGGAATCGAGGATCGCCTGCTGCTCCGCCCGCAGATCTGTGTCCCTCACATCATCCTCGTCCTCCTCCTCCGCCACCTCCAAGTCCTCCTTCAGATCCACCGCGTCCAGAGGTAGCCCCGTAATGATCCGGGCTAAGCGCATTTCTCAGATCTGCTCAAGGAGCTGCAGCCGGTGCTCCGGTGTTAGATATTGGTAGCTCCTTATCGGGCTGCATGGCTACGAGTGGTGGTGGACGACGATTGGGAAGTGGCGGCGCCAGCGGATGGATAGAGTTTCGGTGTCGACGGTCAGCTTAAATAGTCGGGCTAGGGCACCCCCCTCCCGAGCGGGTCGGTCCCTACGGAGCCTCCCATATCCTCCTTGATTTGAACTGAATATAAGGGATGCCGGTCAGTTCGGGCATTTGAGGTCCGTTTGAGGCGTTCATCTGGGTCATTTTTTTACCAATCACTGATCGGGCCATCCACCCGAGCATTTAAGGAGGGATTGGGCGCCGTGCGGTAAATGCTCTAAGTTGCTCAATAAAATGCAAGTTTTTGTAACTATGTCATTGCCACATTCTGTGGCTGTGAGCTCGTGATAGAGAGTGTACAATATATTTTTTGGGAAGGGGGGCCCCATGGACAACTCGCCAGTCTTCTTGCATCAACCACACCTAATTACAAATGACCTTGGCCTCTCCATGCTCGTCATTTACATTTAAGCTGCACACCCCCTTGTTGAGGTCTTACTCCAAAGGTACGGCCTCTAGCACATGACCATTCCTCACTCAAGTCGTCGACACCCTGGGGGGATTTAGTTGGAGAAACTCCAGCCTTGGATACAGTCGATATTAGGGCATCTCAAACGCTGACGCGCAAATTTGCTCCGGCATCCATCTACAGACAAGGGAAAACCAGTCCGCCATGGACGATGTCGGCAGGGCAGTGGAGAATACCTGCCTACGGACGGGTCCTGGGTGGATGACGCCATCGTAAAAGGCGAGTTGGGGCGTCAGTGTTGGTTGCGGAGGTGCGGCAATGATTGTGTACCGTTCGGATAGATATAGCGGCAGAGACGGAAGAGGAGGGTGCAGATGCAAAAGTAAGGGGGAGAAGGGGCGGATTGGAACAAAATGGAACCGGGAGGGGGATTTGTGGGCCTAGGGTGTCGGAGTCATACATGACTACGGTGCGAACTCTGACAAAGCCCCCCACCCCTAAGACCCTAATTTTGTCTCACATTTTGTGGGAAATAGTGCGCCCAGAACGCCGAGCGGGTCGATACAGACCCGCATTGGATGACATAACATGTTCGGACCTCATGATCCTACGAATGCCGGGCGGTTCGAGAGTTCACGTTGAAGATGCCCTTAACTCGTCATAATGCCCATCTTTAAAAAATTGTCATAATGCAACGTCATTCTCGTGTCAGATGGGATGGGGGAGGTTTCTGGACTGTTCGACGGCTTCTTTGCCAACGTTGCCGCTTAACTGCTTAATGTCAAATCACGTGTTGTGTGACGGAGAATATTGAGAAGGACCAGGCGGAGAAAATTGGTCACAAGAGCTTCTGTAGCTGTACCCGCGAGTAGACGAGCAAAGCGTAAGCACTAGCCGTTGTACATGAGCGCTGAGGAGGATGTGTGTGGTTTTGGCGTTCGAATTTTTTTTTCGAAACGGAGGCATAAGATTTGCCTCATCAATTAAATAAGAAGAGAATAGAGTTTAGAGTTTTACAACACCCACAAATACGGCATGACAATTACTCGCCCATAAAAATATCTCCTAATTTCTTTGCACCCGCGGTCACCCAAAGCTTGGCCTCATCGATAATGGCAGTGAAAAGAATGGTCGTTGGCGCACTCTTATGACGAAACACCCGTGCATTTCTTTCATTCCAAATGGTCCAGGAGACAAGCATGGTGAGAGAGGCCAAAGCTTGCCGGTTGGGATTGCGATTGTCGGTTCTCTTGTCCCACCATTCGTAGACGGATTCATCCGTGTGCCACTCGGATGTATCTATGTGCGCGAGACCAAGCCTCTCAATGAGAGACTTCCATATCCGAATTGTAAAGCGGCACTTGAAGAAAATGTGGGCACCCGTTTCTTGCTCCCTATTGCAAAGTTTGCAGAGGCCACAATTTGGCCAACCTCGTCACTGTAAACGATC